TGTAGTATACATAACGAATGCAGCCTCAGTCATATAGCTATGTCATTTGCCGAAATTACTGCGATATCAACTTAATCAGTAGCTTTAATATAAATATGGGAGATTCATATCGTATAGCAACCTGTAAGTTGTTCTATTTCTTAGGTCAAATTCATGGTACCGGGGTATCAATTGACGTATAATAAAATGTGGCATTACGTGAAAAAATTGCCAAAAACGTAGTTTTAAATCTGCTTATGTGATCAGTCCAAATCATTATTAGATTTGGCGCAATCGCTTGGCAAAATACATATTCTCTGCGTAATATCAGTAGGTGAACTGTAAATATTTTAACCGTAAAATTCCTGCTTATGGCCCAAAAGAACTGCAAGAAGAACGATATTTTAAGATTGTCGTCCATGTTTGGTTTCGGCAAGAAGTTTAGGATCTAGGCTTTTTCCAATGCGGTTTCCGCAGGGATAGCTACCTATAACTTTGAAGTCGTTAACACCTTTTCGCATAGATATACAAATTGGCCGTCGATCACGATTTTTCGAGCTCTACAAAAATCGGAAATTTGACTTCTCTGAACCTTGATTAGACATTATTAGGTCTTTGAAAGGTTGTGGTCACTTAACGTATGACGGAACCCGAATTAAATGGTCGCAGGATCTTCAATTACTAAAGAATTTCGTTGAAAGTATTGTCGGCCTACGAGGCAATTGGTCATCACCTGGTGGTAAAGCTAAGCAGTTCCGAAGTTCCAATCTAGATTTCACCTTGACTTGGTACCCGTGCAAAAATAAACAACATTCCCTGACGTTTATTGGGAAGGATGGGGAAATATTTAAAGAATTCCTTGTGAGTGTCCTTAACACAGACCGTGTTGATCAAATAGACATTACATCGGACAGTTTATTCATAAATATAGCAGAATCGTGTAACACCATCAACAATTAATTTAATTTGTTGTACGATCATCCAGATTAAATTTATTTAATTGTTTCTGACGTTTCGGCTACCTACACGGCAGCCCGGTCAATTTTGCATTCTGATTGGCTAACACCATATTGTTTTAAAATAACAACTTGACAGTTGACAATAACAATTCAACATTTGTATTTTTATGATTCTTGTGTGTACGAGTATGTTTTGCAAAATAATTCAAAGTAAGACGTTTTCCCGACTGGGGTTAGGTTAAAACGCGGAAGCGGATGCGGAACGGAACGGATGCGGAACGGATATGGGTTAAAATGCGGAACGGAACGGAAATGCGGAACGGAACGGATATGGGGTTAAAATGCGGAACGGAACGGAAATGCGGAACCGAACGGAACGGATATGGGGTTAAAATGCGGAACCGAACGGATATGGGGTTAAAATGCGGAACGGAACGGACATAGGGTTAAAATGCGGAACGGAACGGAACGGATATGGGGTTAAAATCCATCTGGTGGACGGGAAATCTGATTGGTTGATCAGCATCATGAAAGATTTTGATTGGTTGCAAGTTCATGTAAACAATGGTTTTAAAAATAGCTCTGTCAAAGCGACAATTAAGCCGGTTAAAGACGAGGAAGTTTTCTTTAAGAATCTTTAAAACCCGGAATGAGAGAAGCCGGAATTATTAAAACCCGGAATTATTACTGTAATGATTTATTAATTTAATAAAGCCAAGTTTTGGCGGGATTCCTAAACTCCTTTGCGCGTCGTGTCAGATCCTCGAACAAACAAGTAAGCAGTAAAGTAAAGAACCTCAAAAAATTTTGTGCAAGGCTGATATTCTATTATTCTGGAGGAAACACAGTGGGTTAGTTTTTATAGCGAATACTATTATCAATACTGTTGAATTGAAGCTCGATTTTTGATATACGTCTGGCAGTACCACATCATTTTCAAAATACTAGGCCGTTTCAATTTTAATGAGCTTTCCACCTGTGTCTGTTATAAAATGTTTTTAACTACATATTTATAACACCGCGGAAAAACGTCTGCGCATGCGTCAACCTTACCTGTAATAGTATTGCGAACTTGATGAGAAGCTGTTCAGAACGTTTTCGAAGGCTCAAAATGGCAGGAAAAAGGAGTGACTTGATTGTGCGTCTTTACAGCCTGATTTCGAGCGCAAAAATAAACATGTCATTCTAAAAACTAGGAATAAATACAGCCAGAAGGTTCAAGAAATTGTATTGTACAAGAGCATGAACTAAAGGTGATTGTTGACAAATTTATCGTCTGAAACATTTTGTTTATCAACTAAGCAACGACAATTTCCGAAGTTTCGTTTGAGATACATTTCTTTAAAAAAAACTGTGTCGCCAAATATAAAAAATTTTCGTGTTCACAATAATTAAACTTTAGGATTTATTCTACAATTTGAGTGGGTTAAGAAGCTTAACTTTTCGAGAGTTTTCTTAACTTTTTAGTTTGAATTTTTGTTTTGAATAATTTTGCAAAATTTTTCGAAGTCGTGTCCGTTAAAATCAACAATTTTTTACATGAATTATATTTCATTCCATACTTTAAATGCCAGGACGCTTTCAATTAATGTCTAGTCTACCCATTTGCTATATTTTCTCGTTTGTTTTACTAATTTTTGACCAATTAATAAGCATGTTTTTGTTTCAGAAATTGATATTCAAATTCCCCGCCATATTTTCATAATTTGGTGCATGCGCAGACGTTTTTCCGCAGTGTTCATATTTATATGAAAGCTTCAAATGCGCGTGCTTACATGCGCAGCAAGGCGAGACGTTTTAACTTTTGAAAATAGTTTTTGAATTTCCGTGTTATGACAAAAGTTTGTTGCGAACGTTTTCTCAGCGAATTTTCTACTAACCTGCAAATATAAATTCCACTAAAATGTAGGCATTTTCACAAGCTTTCAAAACATCCACGTTAGGGGTGTAGTCGTTAAATTTCGAATTAATATAAGCGATTAAACTCGTGCCTAAAACTAGACATAATAGAGAGGTTAAGATACCCCGGTTCCGGTTTACGGGTACGAGTATCGCCATTTTGTTTACCAATTTTTGCTGATGTCAGCAATTTTACCCGTAATTTCTACCCGTTTCCCCGCGGTAAACCATGGTCTACACGTAAACGACAAACGGGTACGGCTGTTTTCTGTTTACTATTTTTGGGCCATTTAATAGTACAAATTTTCAACATCTTACCCAAATAAATAATGCACATATGCTGGTCAAAGTTTTCATCAATTTATGGCGAACCTCAACAGCGAAAGTTGCCATTCTCTGATCGGTTTTCCTACGGCGGAATATCTTGGACTTCTTAAGTTACAAGTTATTCCCCGATTTACGGGTACGGGTACGTGTATATCACCCGTACCCGTAAACCGGAATCGGGGTATCTTAACCTCTCTAATATATATTCCGATTTCCGACTAGAATGTATATTCCGACGGCAATTTTTTCACCCTCGTTTAGGCAACGAATTATCGCTCAATAATCTAGCTATACAATGTTATAGCTTGTACCAAAATGTAGCTGATTTCACCAGCTATCTGACAATATGCGTAAAATTATTGTACCTGTAATATTCGCACAGATATAGACAAATAAAAGTCATGTTTATGTTGCATTAAACTTTCTAATTATAATTCTGGTTTCAAATTTTGTTTACATTGTGTGATTTTGACCCCGTCGTTTAGACAACGTTATCTCGCTCAATATTGTAGCTACAGAAATATAGCTCCCGCTAAAATGTAGGCATTCTCAGAGGCATTCAAACCACATGCGTTAGCGGTGTAATAGTTGGAACATATTATGTCTGCTTCTATAGGCACGAGTTTCAATCGCTTATATTAATAGTATATATATTAATTATATTAATATCATAATTAGAAAGTTTAATGCAACATAAACATGACTTTTATTCGTCTATATCT